CCGTCCCTCCTGGAGGTGGGCCTGGCAGCCAGACAGACCCTGGCTTCTGGGGCCCTGGGGCTGTGGGCACCCAGCCAAGGATGGACAGCCTGGCCCGAGGCCCAGGGTGCCAGCCAGCGTCCTGGGTGAGCGCCAGGCCTCCCTCCCTGTCCACCCAGGCAGGATGCTGTTGGTCTCCTCGGGCTGCCGCAGGCCGACGAGGAAGGAAGGGGCTGGGGGGCCAAGTCCAGCAGCCTCCTGGCCCTCCCTGCGGTGCCAGCAGGTGCCTCATTTCCTCACCAGGATGGCCAGGAAGACGGGGAAGCGCAGGATCCACCAGAAGCCCATGTTGTCATTGCTGGTCCAGCACCTGCAGGGTGGGGCCTGCTCGTGTCCTGGCAGCCTCGTAGCCCCCCCGCCCCCCGATTCCTTGGGATCTAATTAGTGCCTCAGGAAAAGAAGGGAGATAATTACCAATGACCTCCACCCCTGGGGAACCAGGTTTGCTTAGTGCCCCCCACTGCCTCTGGCCAGAGACCCCTAAGCCACTCCCACACTCTGAGCCACATGGCCATTCCCCATGGGGCCAGCCCAGCACCTCCCAGCCAGGAGAGGCGAACCCCCCTGCTGGCCCGCCAGTCAGATACTCACTGGATGTTCTCAAACAGACACTTGACCACCACCCAGGGGGTGACGAACAGCACGGGGGCACCTGTGGGGGAGAACAGCTGTAGTCCCGTGGCCCCGGCCAGCCCGCCGGCCCCCTGCTCACTGGCCCCCACTCACCCCAGCCGATGCCCAGGTAGAGGGGGAAGCAGCTCCTTTCAGGGATGGTGGCGAAGCTCAGCAGGCTGTGCAAGTACACGCCCTCCACCAGCAGCCAGCAGTAGTTGGCCACGACGCCGTACTGCATGAACACCGCGGCCACCCGGCAGCCGGCCACCGCCTGGCCGCGGGGGCAGCGTGAGTGCGGGCCTCCCAGCTGCCTGCCGCCCAGGGCCCGGAGGCCAAGAGGCCGGATCTGGGAGCTCACCCCGTCACTCAGCCAGACGCTCACGCTGAAGTCGTCCCCAATCCTCTGGCTGTAGCGGGTCTTGAGCAGCGTGTCGATGACCAGCACAGAGCTGGCCTTGAGCACGAAGGACACGAACAGGTTCACGTGGATGTAGTTTCGGGTGCAGCGCAGCTTGCTGTGGGGACAGCGAGTCAGCCCCCGCCAACCCTGCCCGCTGGGGCCCCCCATGAGCAGGGCGGTGGGCATACCTGAGGCCCAGCAGGATGGCCAGGGCCAGGAGCAGGGCCCCCAGGGACAGGGAGTAGCCCACGGTGTACATCACCTGGAAGCTGCTGTACATCTTGGCCACCTCCTTCTGCAAATCGCAGTGGCCAGTCAGGGCTGGAGAGGGCCATCTTGCCCCTCCCCACAAGCCCCCACTGTACCTGCCATGGGCTGACCTGGACCTCAAGCTCCTTGTCGTCCATCTGGCACTGGGAGGCATTTCGCCATGGCTGCCCCCGCGGCCCACGTACCCACTGCCCATCAGGCCCACACCTCTTGAAGACGAGGCGGTGCTGCACTGCGGGGGCAGTCTCTGGTCAGCTCCCCGCCCCTGGGCTGAGCCCCCTCTGCCAACCCCCCACATCCCTGCTGTGGTTACCTTTGTGGTGCCAGGGCAGGTACCAGGGGCAGGAGATGTTGGCTGTGGTGTTGGGAGGGGTGTCCGGCCAG